CAGAATCAGAATGCCAGAATACCTTTACTCGTCCCACAGAGGGCACATTTAAGTCATAACCTATGGTTATTTCCCACACTGGTTTTAACTGGTGCCACTGATAGTGTTAAATCCAAAGGCACTGTCATAAAGCGTGATAACTGTAACAGAAGCCTATTGTTTGATATATGCATTGCAAAGTGATTATGGTGCGGCTGTAAACTCTTTATTGTCTTTCAGTTGCGTAACTATGGAAATAACTTGATTAAGATCATAAATGCCACCTAACTGCCCACGCAGACACACACACATACACTCTCTCTCTCTCTCTCTCTTCTCTCTCTCTCTCTCTCTCTCTCTCTCTCTCTCTCTCTCTCTCTCTCTCTCTCTCTCTCTCTCTCTCTCTCTCTCTCTCTCTCTCTCTCTCTCTCTCAGTGTCAAGTGTTTGTTTCTTGAACATTTAAGTCTGTTTTTTGCGTAACACTGTTTTTTTAAGCAGCAGATGAGGACATAAACACTATTATTGCTATTCAAAAGTAACATGAGCAGGAGGTTGGTTCTCTCTGTGTAAAGTAAGTTATCAGTGAACAGGACCGTGTCTTGTGTGACTTAAACCGTCATGTAATTAAAACAGGTCTTTGTGGAGATTCCCACAGTCAAGCCTTTGTTTTCCCTCTCATTAACCGCCCCTCCCTCGTAAAAGGCCATATCACTCTCATCTTATTTCACATAATAAGCTGGAAGAGGTACAAATCATGTTTCAGTGTTGCCATCACCAGGTGGGGAGAAGGCTAAAGACACCAAGTAATCAAAGAGAATTATTAAACCCATGCAGAAGCAAGCTAAAGGCATAACCAGGCATGCCCAGACACCTGAACGCCACAGCAGGAAAGCCAAGCACAGGTGTATGTGCATTTGTGTGCATACATATTTCTGTCTGTATATGTCTTATAATAATGTGATTTAAAAGCAGCTTGAGAGAGAAACATGTTTTTGGTAACTTAAACAAATTGTGTTATCTATCAGTTTCCAGGGCTAAGGTCTGCTGTAAACATCAAACAACTATTGATCTATGAAGTAGCAAACCACAAAAAATCCATTACTGTAGGTTTAGAAAAAGTGGGATGACAGTAAGTAAAGACAGGCATGGAAAATAACTATTTTTTACGAGGACATCTATCAGCTGTGTTTCATCTTTCCTGAGAAGGTTGGCTCGTGCACAGACAAGTTTCTGTCATTCTAGGAATTTGCCTTAATACATCAAATATTATAAATGCAAATGCATAATACAGATTGTAATCTATTGCATGAGGAAAGTGGTGTGAGGAATGTCCTCTCCTGTAGCACATTCTGTGGTGCACACAGGATTCAGGAAGAGCAGTGTTCAAGCCAACATCCTTCCTAATCACTAACATCCTTCACCACCCAGCAACATTAAGTTGTTTATTCCAATAAACAGGCCTGGATGCACCAGCACAAATTATAATCAAATGAATACATGCATTGTCTTTCAAAAGGAAGCCCTGTTGTTTTGCGTTTTTATTTCACATCTGAGGTATTTTATCTTATCCAGAGTGGCTTGCAGTTGCAACAGCAGACTAATCTCTAATAATCCTGCGTATATCACCAACATTACAAGCAGTCAATAGTACAGAGTGCAAGGATCATGTCAATAGTCACCTGACAATACTCTTTTGACTAGAATAATAAGCATGTAAGAAAGAAATTAGACCACAGTAGAAGGATTTAATGCTTCAATATGACTAAAGCTTTCCCTACTTTGTGTCTGCTTTACAGCGGGGATAAGGATTAATGTGCTTAATTCACTGTCCTCTCAGAGTGGGTTATGGCAAGTATTCAAACAGATGTAACCCTGATGGATCAAAATGAGGGGCAGCTTGTCATGGAGGGAAACATGCGCTTATCTAATGTAATAAAGCACTGACAACATTCTGCAACATTGTGTTAACTGACATCAATAACTTGGTGTGCAGACGGTATGTTCGAAGGGACAGCCTCACTAAAATGCTGCTCACTAAATGTAAATCTAAATAGTTTGAATCTTGACAGTCTTTTTAACTTCAATCAGTACTGGCTAACAGTTCTTCCTGATCTTGATGTTTGATCCTTTTATGTCTTAATTTGGAAATACACAGAATTTCCAATAAAAGAGAGAGCTCCAAATCCTTTGATATGCATACAAAAATCTTGTTTTAATGTCAGGTTCTATATCATGTTAAAGTACAGATGCCTCAGTCTGTCTAGCTCACCCTCCCATGGCCCTCTGTTTCTCACTGCAGGGGGACATTCCTCAAACCTCAGCCTCTGGCATGCAATAAATCTGCCTGAGAGAGACCTACACTGACTGTACTGCCAAGAACCCTCTGCCAAACAAGACGTGCATCTGAACACTACCTATTTATCAGTTCTCAGCTTCTCTCTTTTCTACACAAGTGGCCTGAGTGTGCAGCCACGGCCTACCAATCTGTAAAACATCCCACAAGGGTGTTTCATGTCTGCCAGAGGCAAAGTGCCATGGATCAAGGTGAGGTAAAGGAGCAACTGTGAAAAGGTGTTAATGGGACAAGAGGAGCTCCACACAGGCAGCTCCCTCCCTTCCTGCCTCCCGGAGGAATGCATGACTCTGACTTTTGACTATATTGCCTTTCCAGGGTGATAGCTAGCTATCCCATTAAAATAAGGAAAGAAATTATGAGGTCCTGGCAACTTTCCCTCTCTTTGTCTCTGCACCTGGAGTGAAAGTACAGCCACTCCTCAGGAGGAAGGATTCCTTGGAATGACCTGTGCAGCAGTGCAGAACATCAGGGATCACCTGCATGGATCTGTATCTGATTATTTTACATTTTTCTCTGGGCCATTTAGAGGCCATATAGAGGATTATAATTGAGAAAAATAATCAGTTGGCATGCAGGCCAAAGCCAGACGCAGGTGTTCAGCTTATGGAAGATCTGTGAAGCGTTTCAGTACTGCCAGTGCAACAACATGGTATGTCTATATTTGATTTCAAGAGTTATTTAACATATACACTCTAAAATAATGCAAGCCTGTCTAAAAAAAGTAGGCTTCCCATAAAAAAAGTTGCCTTCAAATGTGAGTTAACAACAACTGTTAAGTCACACGAGCAAACATTAAAGTTACGTTTTCCCACCAGTTATATTTTCTCAGTTCTTTGTCATACTTCTCTGCTCCTGGGGAAGCCAATTATGTATCGGAAACTCTGTTAATGATAAAGTGAAGAGAGAAGTTGATACTAATCCTTATCCTGCATTGCATTGTTTTTATTTCTATCTGATGAAACAACCGCGACTCTATGTCTGAGAGTGGTGTCTGAATGAAAAATATGGACATGCATGCAGTAAAGGTCCTAAGGCCAGAATCAAACCCTGGACGCTGCTACCAAACCACTCGGCTACCAAGGCACTCAACACTCAGCTGTACTACTCTTCTACTCATTTCTAGTCATGTGGTTTCATCATCCAATTATATGTGACTTTCCGTGAGACTCAATGTTTGAAAAATAAATAACCTGGATAAAGTAATAAGAGTTGTATAGTGTTGTTGATATATTTAAAAAACAATGACACATATTCAACACTGTTTGAACCAAACCACATCTCACATAAACTGCTTTCAATGACCAAGACAAATCTCTCTTGCTTGCTGTGGAATCTTTTGTATCCACACCCAAACCACGAGCAGCAAGATGTATCGTGAAAAAAAAATGTATGTATTTTTCCAGTGTAGTCTGAGCCAGTATATACCCAGCAATGGCACAATACGTCTGGCAGTCATGCAGGGCACAACCACCAAAAGGCTCTGCTCTCTTGTTCCTCCGCCAAGCCATAATAACAGCAATAAGGTTTGGGAGGCTCGTTAACCTTAATCTAGGAATTACACTGTGGCACCAGGGAGAGGGGGACGTGTTGTGTTGTGTGCTTCTACATAGGGGCCTGAATTAAACATTTACCACAGGGGAGACTCGGGGGGGCTGCTGCTTTGAAGAGTGGGACTGGTAGTTCATGCAGCAGGGCCTCACCTGGGTTAAAGTCACTCAGTTTATGTTCCTCTTGTATTAGCCTCTTCCTCCCCCATGTGGTCAAAATGAATTACTGCACAATAGCCTCGACTTGTGATGAGCCAGAAATACACATAACACTATTTTATACAGATTAAGAAAAACCACACAATACATAGGCTATTTATTATATATTTATAGACCCAAACCTTTTGTCATATACAATACGTACCCTGAAAAAATGTATGCCAACGTCAGGAGGCATGGTGACACAACTAGAAATAAAAAACATGCCCCTCCAATATACGTGATGGACTAAATATAACGAATGTAAACTCAGAAAAAAATTAAACATCATTTGGATCAAGACTATTGGATTAATTGTTATAGTTCAAGACTATTGGCCATAATCATGTTTCGCTGTGGAGGTGAAAAGTTCTGACAGCCTGTGAATCAATTACAGACTTTATTTAGTCAATGTTTAATGTTGGATCCTAAAAGAAAGTAAAACTTACAGTTGACCTCTTTGGTGGCAACTTGGGGCAACTAAAGTTAGTATTTTGATAAGTAATAATGTTGTGGTAATAGTTACTAATGGTTTTATTAAATATTTCTTGATATTTTGTGATATTTTATTAAACTTTGGAATGAAATGGAATTAATCACCCGAATATTATTATTGTTTCTCTCCGCTAGTAACCCCTTAGCTAATAAGATATCAGGCTGAATTGTTATAATAACGTCAGTGATTAAATGTTTCTTAATAAATAATAATGCACTGATGTTTTCCTTTGTTCTCGGGCAAATTTCGCTTAATTTAAATCCGTCAGATTATTGGCAGTGTCTCCACTTTCCCAGGGCAAATAAAACACATTTTTATGGACCAGGAAATGAAGACTAACTATAAAACTCCAAGATTGCTCCAAGTGGACGTCTTGCTTCGTTTTAGAAGTCGGTAACACGAGTTTAACGCCTGTTGCACCATGAGGGGCTTTTCCAAAAAAGACCGAAAGACGGTGACACTTCCTTAGTATTGAATTTTGAAGCACAACTTCATCACGCCCAAATACAGGCACTCAACTGTAAACGAGTTTATAGCTGCCGAGGCATTCACAGTGACCACTTCCTGGGAGATATAAGAGGAGAAGAAGCATTCTGGTAAGTAGACTGTCTTTTTAAGTATTTTTCCTAGAAACAAACAAACAGTAGGATATGAGACATTAGGGGAGGCAGATCAAACCTTTTTAAAAACTGTTAAACTAATTTGGACTAGAACTGAGCGTCTGAAGATTGAAGTGACATCTCACAAAATCTACCACTAATACAAAAACGTACTTTTATTGTTTTGACACACCTTACATGGTAAGGTTATATTGTCCTTTTTTTGTTGTTGCTGAAAACAATATTGACAAAACGGCTTGGTATTATGCAATACAATTTAACACAAGACTGCAGCCTACAAAATTACCTATACTCAGGGCCCCCGGGCCGCCATTTGCCCATCCCTGGTTTAGATAGTTCACTTTAGTCTAAGTTATCTCAGTGGGTCTCAAACGTTTTGATCACAATTTATATAAACAAATATTTCCAAGGCACACCTTTATAATTATTAGGATAAATAAAAACAGGTTTGAAATCATTCCAATGTATACTATAGGACAGTAAACCAAAAATATCGTTTAGAACTGGAGATATAAAAAATATGCATTAATAAATAAATGTTAACTAGGTAAAATAAGATATAAATGAACCACAAAAATAAAATAAGTTAGCCTACATTTATTTGTTATTGGCTATGGTAGGTTATTGGTTATGTTCACATACTTATTTGATTATTAAAATGCAAACAGATCTTTTTCATATGGGTGTTTAGAGTTGTACCCCCTAGTCTAGTCTCTAGTAATTGGGCGCTCAAAGTGCACCAGATTGAAGCATTTTACTTTAAAATGTTAAAATCTACCAGGAGCAGACCCCCTAGAGGATGTGACTTCCACCCCCCAATTGAAACATGTTCATACAATACTAAATACATTTGAAGCCTTTTTATATAAGCTGTCCACCATGTCAATACGTTTCTCTTTTTGTAGTGTATTGGTCTTTTGTAGAGGTTTTTCATTATCAGCTAAAATCTTGCCTAGGGCAGCAAATTAGTCAGAACCGGCCCTGGCGTCATCCCCACAGCATCCCCCATTTGAAACATGTTCCTAAGGCTATGCCTATACTTGTTTCAACACTTCTCCAAAACTAGTTTTAACCAAAACAGTTGGTCTTTATTTTGTATAAGACTTAGTTTGAGCTAGGTGTACCAAATAAACTGGCAACTAAGTGTACATTTTCTGACAAAAAAAACCATCAGAGCGCTTTACGTTGTGATAGGACATAACTATAGTGTGTTTTGTTTCCCACAGACGCACAGAGAGATGGCCTTCTCATCTGCAGAAAAAGTTGCCGTAACAGGGACCTCTGGTCTGGGCTCTTCGGCGGGTAACAGCTCATTCTTCCTCGAGTCTGAGTTTCGTTACATCCTGTTCCCAGTTGCATATGGCATCATCTTCATCCTGGGCCTCATTGCCAACCTCTACGTGCTGTTTGTCCTCCGATGCCTTCGCCAAGCCAAGGCCATGGGTGAAATCCGCATCTACATGACAAATCTGACCATCGCTGATCTCCTTTTCGTCTGTGCACTTCCCTTTTGGATTGGGTATTACAGCGGGCATGGTCACTGGGTTTACACAGACTTCATGTGCCGGCTGACTGGCACGTTGTTCTTCATCAACACCTACTGCTCCATCCTCTTCCTCGGGGCCATCAGCGTCAACCGATACTGGGCAGTGACCCGGCCTCTGGATGCGGCCTCTTCTGACCACAGACGACGTGGGATCATCGTGTGCGTTGTCATCTGGGCATTGACCATTGCGATGGCTATTCCCTACCTGGCTTCTCCAGGGACCAAAACGGATGAGAATAACGTCACACGCTGTTTCGAGGGGTACCAGAATGAAACAGATTTCGAGAAGAGCACAGTGGCAGTCACTCATTTTGCAATAATTGGAATGTTTTTTGTTGTCTTTTTTCTGATCGTGGTGTGTAATTGTCTTATTGCTCGAGCGCTACTTTCTCAAGGTCCTCCTCAGTCAGAGTTGCGATCAATGAATATATCGAGAAAGTCCACCATGACCATGTCTGCCTCAACTAAAAGGCCCAGAGGGGTGAAACGGAGAGCTCTGCAGATGTTGTTAGCAGTTGTGGGAGTGTTTGTTCTCAGCTTCCTGCCCCATCATGTAGTTCAAGGATTCTGGACACTTGCAGTCTTGCAGATCTCTGAGGGCTGGGGACACGTAGAGTGGGACCAGAAAACTCTTCAGGTGCTCAATGACGCCCATCAGATCACTTTGCTTCTTATGAGCCTCAACTGCATTTTGGATCCTGTAGTCTATTATTTTGCTACAAGAAGGTTTAGAGGGTTCATCATGGCCCATATGAAGAAGATGATAAAGGGAGAGGGCTGCTCTCAGACGACCACCTCACTGATCTCCATGGACAGCAAACATGAGACTTAATAGCGAGCACCAACAGCCCGAAATGGATTGATTAAAACGTGTTATATATTTTTACGAAGATGTAGATATCTCCTACTTGTTTTAAATACTTTCAGGACCCCAATGATTCATGATTTCAAAACATACAGTGTTTTTTTGCACCTCTGGATCAATAAGCAATTTTAAGTTTTATGTAATTCAGTGTTGGTGGTTTGGTTGCACACCCTTAAGTATTGAATGTTTTCTCACAAACATTATCTTGACGTTTTAGTCACACAGGCTGTGGTCTGAATTTCACAAGTTCTACCGCTCTTCCTGTGTAGAATAAAAATGTGAAAGCAGAAGTTTTGCAAGCAGAAGTACATACCAATCAATAATGACCCTGAGAATCTGCAGGAGGGCACTTTATCTCTTTAGTCTGTGAAATTAACTGATGTAGCACCAGACATGTTTTTAAATCCTCCAACAACAAGTTGTTGATCTGTTCTAAAACCAGTAAAGAAGCCAAGAATGAATCCTGTGGCTCAGGAGATAAAGGTTGATTCCTGCCACCTACAGTCAACATGTTGAAGTGCAATTGACCATCTTCCTGGGATGAAATTGGCAGTGTGTGTAAAGGTTTTTTCTCATGATAAGCAGGTGGCACTCTTTATGGTAGCCTCCGCCACCAGTGTGTATATGATTAGCATAATATCAGTAAAATGTCATGTTGTTGTCGCAGATAAACACACAGTTTACAGTTTTCTTTTCTTTTTCTTAAATTGTTCATAGACAAGTGAAATCCTTGATTGCGAAATAAGGGAACATAAGTAAAGCTTGAGCTACATTTCCCCTCTGGAATTCAATATTGTGACATAATGTGTAAAAACCCTTGATTCACTGTGACAAAGAAACCCAATGGCTATTATCTTTCACTGAGCTTTTGTTCTATTGTGTATTTTATTTTGTATGTAGTGTATGCCAACCTGCCGTTGCTAAACAGATTTATAAAGCATATTTTTCAGAGGAACAGCTTTGATGATCTAGTGTGGTACTATAAAGTGTTTGCAATGCTATTTTGAGCCTCCTAAAGGAAAATATGCTGTTTTTTACTCAATAAAGAAAATATTTTCTGTATCACGAGGGATTAAAAAAAAATTGAAACTCAGTGTCTGTCATATCAATATCTATCAGTTTTGATACACAAAACATTACAAAAAACAACAGTACATGCAGTTTGAGACACATACAAATTAAAGGTTTTATTGAAATCTGCTAAATACAGAGCAAACAAGAGCTTTCTTGTTGATTTGGGAATATTTTAACCAAGCCCGAATTCAGATTGTGGCAAGTTATTTTTGTCTAAAAACATTCAATCAAACATTTATGGCAAACCTCATAATTCAGGTTGAAGGGTTTGCTGAGTTTTATTTGCAAATATCCTGCTACTGACATTTTGTATTTTTCCATTGCGTATATTTCCACCTTCCAATGCATGATCATTAAAGACTTGAGTAATCATTCCCAGTCACATTGGTGAGGTCCAGATTAGTGTAGTCATTGCCGGTGTAATTCATGTACACATCTCCGCCGCTTTCAGCTGGTGGAAAACCTCCCCTGGGGGGTAGAAACATGATCAGACTTGAATAAATACAGTCTTCTGAGTCAGCTGTACATGTGAACAAATTGCAAACTGTGGTAACTTACTTTGGAGACTTATCCGTTCCAGGGAAACCTTTAAGGAAGCCAAGAACATAAAATCATCCACAAACCATCAGCTTAAAATATGACCCAGCAGGAAATGCTTTACGTTTTTTTACCTTTAGCTGCAGTGTTTGAGGTGGTCTTTGTGGCAACAAGTCTTTGATATCCGAGCCAAAAAAGTATACCAAAGATGGCGATCAAGGCCAGGAGAAAGAAGACAAAGGCAGCAATTCCTAACTTCTCAGCAACTGTTGTAGGTTGGGGAAACAGAAATGTGGGAGAAAGGCTTTGATTAAAGATAACAGCAAATTATGATTATCAGTTAAAAAGACAACACAACTTTCTTTCTCTTTGCATGAAAACTTTTCTTGTTTCTGATTCAAATATGCATGGTCGCACAGGAACAAGAAATGTAAATGTAAAACTGAAATTTGATATTTTTGAGATTCTTTTACAAACCAGTTACCTATATACTCATCCAGGAAATACAAAACAACATAGCCTTTATTTGGAGTCGTGCTCCTGTACAACTAGGTCTCAATGTTAACACTTATTTTTGTATTTAGTTTTGTAGCTTGCTAAATGTTAGCGGATAACAACGTCTTGTTGCTGACACAGCTGCCCACTGTGGCCAGAAACAGGTATGAGTATGTGAGCGTAAACCAAATCAGCCAATGAGCTGAATGATGCATTTAGGCTTTTAGAGCTTAAAGGTAGAGTCAAAACAGATCACCAACCTGTTGTATGAGTGGAGGTTATAGAGATGATGTGCGATGAGCTCCGACGGCTAGATACTGTGTTGTTGGCAAAGCATTGGTAAGTCCCACTCTGCTCTGGCCTGGTAAGTGTCAGATCCCTTAAGTGTCCCACTTCTTGGGAGTCTTCCAGTGTTTTCCAGTGTTTCCAGGACCAATTGACAGAGTCTGGTATGGTGGAAGGGCCACAGTACAGGTGGACTGTACGACCTTCTGTGACTGGGTAGTCTGGTGTGGCTACCACCTGCAGAGAAGGAAGCTGTCCTGGAGAGGTATACAAGTGAGTTTAACACAGAATGATGGATGATGAAAGGATGAAGGAGCGAGTAAATCAAACAGTTTCAGACAGAACATATTGACATTACGATGTCTTTTTGTTGGTCGGTCCATTAACCACTGAGGTAAAAACTGAAAATACCTAAAGAAATATTGGATGAATTGCTATGAAATTCTGTAAAGACATTCATGTTCCCCAGAGGATGAGCCCTGATGACTTTTGGCAATCCCATAACCGTTTATATACGTGTAGTGCCATCATCAGGTCAACGTATCGATGCCCAATACTTTCCTTTATGACCGACTAGATGCAGGATTAATGAGATCCTTCTCACACTCATATGTACTTTGTGTTTAGTATTAATGAACAAATGTGAGATATCCCCCTTTATTCTGGAAGTACATTTCTTATTACTTTTTCCAATAGCGGATTTTGAGTGACTTACAGTGGGAGCTTTTCTACAGATTTGATCACAATTTTCCTGTTAATTAGTAAGTACAAAAGATAAGAAAATGTCTGTTAAAAATATCTGGTTCTTTGATTGAAAGTACAAGCCTGTTTAAAACAATTTGGTTAACATGAACTAAGACTCCCAAATAGCTTAAAATTGAGTTACATGTGCTGTTAATGGGAAGTGGAAGCTAAAGATTATGCTTTTGAGAAAACTGCAGATTTGATTAATTTCATTTTCTGGCACAATGTTATATTCTCAACTGTAATAACAAAGCTTTTTGGATCCGCAATCATTTTGATCCACACTTCTGACTGGTCTTTTCATGATAGGCAATTGCTATAATTAAGTAGGAAACATAATATCTTAGTGACAAAATAATACATTTTGGTGGCCACGACATTAACCTATATCATTGTTGCACAATTCCGGGTACTACTTTGTTTCAGTGTTCAGTAATCTACCATTGAGCTTAAAAGAAAAAATACATGGGATTACAGAATGGATAAAAACATTTCCAGAAGTAGAAGACGTTTCCAGCTATTAATAATGTGCATGTTAACATGTAGCTCAAAACACTCCTCTGTACTGTACAGCAGTGTACATCCTAGCGTGGCTGTTCAACTTTCTTTAAACATTTTTGTTTGATTGGAATATCTGTACAAGGCCTACCTTCTGTGGTCATTCTAGGTGTAGATGTTTCCAAGGAAGTCGTTCTAGCAGCTGTTGTTGTGGGCCATTCTGTAGTCGTGGATTGTGCTGTAAAGACAAAAAGAAGCACACAAAACTGCTGACATTGTATTTGAAACATATACCCTGTATTCTATTATTACATTCCTTAATAGGAATGAGCTTACCTGTGCTCACACACAAAAATAACAGGAGAAAAAAGCTACGCAGCATGTTGTTTTGAGATAAACTAAAAGCAAATGCTACAATCACTTCAGGCAAACAGGTACAAGAATGAACCAAATGTTATAATTGAAGAACAGCTGAGAATGGAGGAAGTATAAGACCAGGAAACTGAAATAAAGGGAAGTTAGAAGTTCCTTCTACATATATTCAACAAAATAACTGTGCAAAAACAATTAATATCTCTCCCCAATCTGATACACAGGCTATCAGTGTGCACTTCTCCTATCCGTTGTTATTTAAAATCTTGGTTCTACATTTAAACAATAGACACATGTTGCATAGGAAGTAGAAAGAAAAACTTAAAAAAGGACACGCAAAACTATTAATACATAAAAAACATTTCATGTATTGCCACAATCAGGGTAAAATAACCGCCCAAATGTTTGCTTTATGACCAAGAACCTGCTAAATCAAAGACATTCCAATGAGACTCATCTGTACTTGGTGTTTCGTGCTAACTGCTGCTCCGGAAACACATTTTCCATACAATTTTCCATAGTTATTGTCATGTTACTTACAACTTGCTCTTCTACTGCTTCGTAAAGCATGAAACAGGTCATATTACATCTTCAGTTTAAGATAATAAATGACTCTATGGCTATTTTGTTTTTGGTATTTTGGTTATTCGACAAAAAGTAGAGGCCTGTTTTCAGCAAAGTTTTTGGCGGCGGTAGACATAAACTAAGACTAAATTGATGTTACATGTTCAACTTGAGGGTGAGTTGATTATAAAGATGATGCTGTTGAGAAAACACAAAGCTTTAATTTCATCACAATTAAATGCTGGGTTTGTTCTTGTTAAATTCAGAATAAAAATCATTCCTATCCACACTTTTGACTATTTTTTGCTTTTCCTATGGCAATGGCTGGCGAGGCACATATTGTAGTGTTGAAACTGTTCCGCCATGCCAAAAATGACATACAAAACATAATTTTAATGGGTGCCCTTGACATTATCCTATATAATTGTTACATAATTAAGGGGACTACTTTGTTTTTACCTGTTCAGTAGGCTACCATTGAGCATTTAAAGATAAGGTTAAAATGGGAACACAAAAACGTTTCCAGAACCAAGAGGCCCTTCCCCCTAATACACATTTGTAGGTAAGAATGCTCAAAACACTGATGTGTACTGTACATGACATTAGGGTTACGGAGCTATAAGCGTGGCTGTTCAACTTGCTTTCCATAATTGTATTTGGTTGGAATAACTGTACAAGGTCTACCCTCTGTGGTCATTTAGAAGTTTCCAAGGAAGTCATTGTAGGCAGTGGTATCCGGGATTTTACTGTACCTTCTGTGGTCATTCTAGGTGTAGACGTTTCCAAGGAAGTCGTTCTAGCAGCCGGCAGTGGCTCAGTCAGTAGGGGCTTGGACTGGGAGCCGTAGGGTCGCTGGTTCAAGTCCCCGACCAGACCTAAATATGGAGTGTGGACTTCTACTTGGAGAGGTCCCAGTTCACCTCCTGCCCTGCCGTGGTGCCCTTGAGCAAGGCACCGGACACCCCCCTTCCCCCCCACTCCCATTGCTCCCTGGGCGCTGTACAATAGCTGCCCACTGCTCCTAGTACTAGACTCCTTGTACTAGGATGGGTTAAAAGCAGAGGCCAAATTTCACTGTGTGTGCTGTGTGCTCTGCATGTGTGACCATTAAAGAGGGTTTCATCCCTCCCTATTTTTTTTTTTTTTTTTTTTGTTGTTGTTGTGGGCCATTCTGTAGTCGTGGATTGTGCTGTAAAGACAAAAAGAAGCACAAAAACTGCTAACATTATATTTGAAACCTATACCCTGTATTCTATTATTACATTCCTTAATAGGAATGGGCTTACCTGTGCTCACAGGTTCTTGGCTTTATGACCAAGAACCTGCAAAATCAGTACAGATGAGACTCATCTGTACTTGGTGTTTCGTGCTAACTGCTGCTCCGGAAGCACATTTTCCATACATTTTTCCATAGTTATTGTCATGTTACTGTTACGGTTTTGTATTTATGTTTTCATTTTCCACCTTTTGTTTTGAAATGTTTTCCTCCTTGTGTCTTCTCTGTTCCTTCTTCCTGTGTTTGCCTTCCTGTCATTAGTTTCCCTGGTGTGTCTGATTGTCTGATTGTGTTCACCTGTTGCCCTTGTGTTTCTGCCTCTCTTACCCCAGCTGTGTCTTGTCTTGTGATTACCCCTCCCTGTATTTAGTCTTGTCTCTTCCTGTGTTCCCCTGTCGGTTCATTGTTGGTTTTTCCTGTCTTCCTCCATGTCAGTCACGGTTGTCTCTCCTGTCTCCCTCCATGTTGGTCACGGTCAGTTTTTTGTACAACCCATTTGTTTCATGCCTTGTTTTTGATCAGCTTTTAAAATAAAGCTCGCTTTTTGTTACGAGACCGTTTACCTTTTCTGATAGTCTGCATTTGGGTCCTACCCTTCCACGCCATCCTAAGAGAATGAACCGACCAGCTTTGGACTCAGCAGACTCGGATCGTTTTGCTCCACAGGCAGAATGTCTTGGGTACTCTCTGGAGTACATTTTTTATACTTGGAATGGCGCCTCTTCTAGACGTGGTAGAGAGGCTGCGTTGAAGGAGGCACGTCAGGAGGTTGCTCGCGAGCCCTGGCTTAGGAGCATGTTGCCTGAGTGGCTACAACTTTTCACAAGTAGTCCGGAGGACTTGTCCGAAGCCTCTAACCCTTTCCTGGGGTATGACCAGGCCTTGGGAGGCCCACAGATCCTCCAAAGAATCTCTAGGAGACGCAAGACCAAGATTCCAGCCCGTGCTCCAGTGGTTCCAGCTCCAGATCTGGCCCCAGCAGCCATTGTTCCAGCTCCAGATCTGGCCCCAGCAGCCATTGTTCCAGCCCCAGTTCCGGCCCCAGCAGCCATGGTTCCGGCCCCAGTTCCGGCCCCAGCAGCCATGGTTCCGGCTCCAGTTTCGGCTCCAGTACTGGCTCCCCGGCCGACGCCAGGCCTCCGTGTTTTGTCAGTGGTTCGGCCCACTCCAGCCCCTCGTGTCCTGTCGGTGGTCCGGCCGACTCCAGCACCTCGTCTCCTGTTGGCTCTCCGGCCGACGCCAGCCCCCCGTGTCCTGTTGGCTCTACGGCCGACGCCTACTCCATGTCCTGTCCCGTTGGGGGTCCCGCTGACTACTCTTCTGCCGGGGGTCCTGCCAACCCTATGTCCTGTGCTGTTGGAGGTCCCGCCGACTACTCTCCTGCCGGGGGTCTTGCCAACTCCATGTCCTGTCCCATTGGGGGTCCCGCCGACTACTCTTCTGCCGGGGGTCTTGCCAATCCTATGTCCTGTCCCGTTGGGGGTCCTGCCAACCCTATGTCCTGTGCTGTTGGAGGTCCCGCCGACTACTCTTCTGCCGGGGGTCCTGCCAACCCTATGTCCTGTGCTGTTGGAGGTCCCGCCGACTGCTCTCCTGCCGGGAGTCTTGCCAACTCCATGTCCTGTCCCGTTGGGGGTCCCGCCGACTACTCTTCTGCCGGGGGTCCTGCCAACCCTATGTCCTGTGCTGTTGGAGGTCCCGCCGACTACTCTCCTGCCGGGGGTCCTGCCAACCCTATGTCCTGTCCCATTGGGGGTCCCGCCGACTACTCTTCTGCCGGGGGTCCTGCCAACCCTATGTCCTGTGCTGTTGGAGGTCCCGCCGACTACTCTCCTGCCGGGGGTCTTGCCAACTCCATGTCCTGTCCCATTGGGGGTCCCGCCGACTACTCTTCTGCCGGGGGTCTTGCCAATCCTATGTCCTGTCCCGTTGGGGGTCCCGCCGACTACTCTTCTGCCGGGGGTCCTGCCAACCCTATGTCCTGTGCCGTTGGAGGTCCCGCCGACTACTCTTCTGCCGGGGGTCCTGCCAACCCTATGTCCTGTGCCGTTGGAGGTCCCGCCGACTACTCTTCTGCCGGGGGTCTTGCCAATCCTATGTCCTGTCCCGTTGGGGGGTCCCGCCGACTACTCTTCTGCCGGGGGTCCTGCCAACCCTATGTCCTGTGCTGTTGGAGGTCCCGCCGACTACTCTCCTGCCGGGAGTCTTGCCAACTCCATGTCCTGTCCCATTGGGGGTCCCGCCGACTACTCTTCTGCCGGGGGTCTTGCCAACCCTGTGTCATGTGCCGTTGGGGTTTCCGCTGAGGGTCCTGCCAACTCCACGTCCAGTATCGTTGGGGGTCCTGCCGACACCTGTTCAGCTGTGGGTCCTGCCAACCCCATGTCCTGTCCCGTTGGGGGTCCCGCCGACTACTGCTCCGCCAGGTTTCCTGCCAACACCAGATCCTGTCCTGTTGGGGGTCCCGCCGACACCTGCTCCACCAGATTTCCTGCCTACACCATGTCCTGTCTTGTTGGGGGTCCCGCCTACACCATGTCCTGTCCTGTTGGGGGTCCCGCCGACACCTGTCCCGCCGGGGGTCCTGCTAGCTCCATGTTCTGTTCTGTTGGGGGTCCCGCCGACACCTGTCCCGCCGGGGGTCCTGCCAACTCTGTGTCCTGTCCTGTTGGAGGTCCCGCCGACACCTGTTCCACCGGGGGTCCTGCCAACTCTGTGTCCTGTTCCGTTGGAGGTCCAGTCGACACCAGCCCTTGCTCCATCCGGGGTCCCGTCTACGCCTGTTCCGTCGGCTCCGGTTCCTGTCTGGCCGACAACGGGTCCTGCCCGGCCTCCGGAGCTGTCCCGTCAGCGCCTTCCTGCCCGTCCTCCGGAGTTGTCCCGTCAGCACCTTCCTGCCCGGCCTCCGGAGCTGTTCCGTCAGCGCCTTCCTGCCCCTCCTCCGGAGCTGTCCCGTCGACGCCTTCTTGTTCGCCCTCGAGCCCGGCCCCCTGAGTGCCGGGGCCTTCGCCCTCAAGCTCGGCCCCCTGATTTCCCCAGCCGTGGCCTTCGCCCTCGAGCCCGGCCTCCTGACGCTTTCAGCCGCTGCCTTTGCTCTCATGCCCGGCCCCCTGAGTTCGCCCGCTGTGGTCTTCGCCCTTTTTTGAACTCTGCCTTGCCCCCGGGCCGTCCGCCCGAGACCCCCTCCTTGATCTCTGCCTTGCCCCCGGGCCGTCCGCCCGAGACCCCTTCTGGGTCCTCCGCTGTGC